CTAGCACAGCTGCTTTTACATTGTGAGCCAGTTGTGTTGTGTTGTGTGTGTGTAAAGTGTGAAAGTTGGGTTTTTGGACTTTTTGTGGCTGTGTGAGGTTTATCTCTTGTTCCAGGGGCCATTTTGGATCTAGCACAGCTGCTTTTACATAGTGGGTGAGCCAGTTGCGTTGTGTTGTGTTTTGTAGGTTAAAAAAGGGCAAAGAAGTGACGTCGACCTGGCTACGCCCACCTGACCACCAAGCCGCGCCCACCCAGTCACCTGACCACCAAGCCACGCCCACTAATCAAGCCACGCCCACAGAACCGGTAGCGAAAATTTGTAGATTTCACCCCTGTTGAGGGCTACCTGGGATTATCGCATCCTCTGGATGTTTCCGTGGATTTATCCACGAGGTTTTTCTTGGGCCCTGCCCAGGAAAACGAGTTTGCAACGATTTTCTTCCTAAATTGCCAACCTGGCCCGCAATCAGTGGTGGGTTGACCCCGGTTCGGACCGGTTCGTAAGAACCGGTAGTAAAACCGGCGGGAGGCTCCGCCCACTGACCCGGACGTCATCATAGGTGATCTGCACATGGGCAGAAGCGTCAGGCGCCTGCGCAGAAGAGCGCGTGCGCGCACACAGGCCGCAATGCAGTAGTGGTAGGTATGTAGAACCCACCCCTGCCCGCAATCGTAGGATTTCCGAGTGGTCTCCCATCCAAATAAGATGGCAGGCCCCCTTTTTAATTCATCGATGAATTTGTTTGGCTGGGTCTTCCTGTTCTAATGAATACGGAAATTTATTTTTCAGGGCTTGATCCATTGTTCCATTTTTCCAAGGTTTTGACTTGTTGGCTTTTAACCAAACGTTTGACGATTTAAATCTCTGTGCGGTGGGCGGCCAAATAAATTGTAATAAACCGCAATCAAAGACTTCGCTTCCAGCCCAGACGAGATCTGCCAGCCAAAAACCTTTTGACTATGAGATTTAAAACGTGGCCATTTCACTCCGCAAAAAAAAACAGCACATAAATTGCTTACAATTATGTTTTGGGAGGAAAGCATAATTGGTCAGAAAAGGATGTTTTATTATTTAAAAAATCCATACTTAGTGGAAGGTCGCGTTCTGCTTCTTCCCAGCAAGCTGGAAACGTTCCAGAGTTTGACTTGGGAAAAGACGGAAAGACGAAAAACATAAAAATTTTTTTAAAATACAGGTGGTCCTCGGCTTACGACCGCGAGCGAGCCCCAAAATTTGCGTTGTTAAGTGAGACAACTGTAAAGGGAGTTCTGCCCCCATTCTTCGACCTTTCTTGCCACAATTGTTAAGTGAATCATTGCGGTTGCGGAGTTGGCAACATGACCGCAATTGAGCCCAAAATTTCGGTTGTTAAGTGAGACATTTGTAAAGTGAGCTCTGCCTCATTTGACGATCTTTCTTGCTAAGGTTGTTAAGCGAATCAATATTGTTAAGTGAACCTGGTTTTCCCATTGTCAGGTCACAAAAAGTGATCACATAATCCCAGGACACTGCGACCGTCATAAGTACGTGCCTTGGGGATGCCGCAACGGTTGTAACTGTGAAAAACGGTCATAAATCACGTCTTTTGGCGCCTAAGTAACATTGAATGGTCACTAAACGAACCTTTGTAAATCAAGGACCACCTGTAGTGATCGACTTCTAACCTATTCGTTTAGCGACCCTTCAAAGTTACAGCGGCTCTGGAAAAAAGTGACCTATGACTGTTTTTCACACTTACGACCGTCTTATTACCCCCATGGTTATGTGATCACAATTCAGATGCTTCATATTTATGACAGTTGTAGCATCTCGGGGGTCGCACGATCCCCTTTTGCGATCTTCTGACAAGCAGAATCCATGGGAAAGCCGGATCCACTTAACAACCGTGCGACTAACTTAACAACTGCAGTGATTCACTTAACAACAGTAGCAAGAAAGTTCATAAAATGGGGCAGAGATCACTTTACAAATGTCTCACTTAACAACAGAAATTTGGGGCTCAAGTGTGGTCTAACTCAACCATCCCAACGAATCACTTAACAACTCTGCCCAAAAAAGGTCGTAAAATGAGGCAAAACTCATTTAACAACTGTCTTGCTTAGCAGCCGAAATTTTGGGCTCAATTGCAGTCGTTAAATTGAGAGCTACCTGTAACTCCACTATAGAAGTTTTAGTCCTCGTTTAGTAACCACGATAGGGACCAAGAACTTGGTTGTTAAGTAAATGCGTCACTAAGTGAAATCATAACTGATTTTTTTTGCTCCAAAAGACGCATTAAGGCTTATTTTCTGGTTAGGTCTTATTTTGGGGGGAAATACGGTACTAAATGCATACAATCTGGTTGACAACCTTAACTGGGGCTTATTTTGGGGGTAGGGTTTATATTACAAGCATCCTGAAAAATCATGCTAGGCCTTATTTTCTGGTTGGGTCTTATTTTCGGGGAAACCGGTTATTTTAACAATTTGTGGGTTCTTGTGCAGTGAGGTTGTACAACTGTGAGGGAGGAATGCAAGAAGAGATGTGCGAGAAAATGGCCGACGGACAAGCAAGGCTCAGCTTGGGATAGCCCTAAGTGTAATCCGCAATAGTGACACAGATAGTCCTCCATTACGACCGCAATTAAGGCCAACGTTTCTGTGAAACATTTGTTCGGTAAATTTTACCCCATTTTCTGACCTCTCTTGCCACCATTGTTAAGCGGTTGCCCGAATTTTGAACATGTGACATTGGGGAGGCTGCAATGGTTGCAAGTGTTAAAAATGGTCATAAGTCACTTTTTTCAGGGCCGTTGTAACTGAACGGTCACTAAACAAATGGCTATAAGTCAAGGACTACCTGTATATGGTCTTTCTTTGAACTCAGGCCTGTAACCAAGCTGAAGACGACCTGTGTCCCCTAATATCTGGACCATCCGGATGTGGTCGGACTACAACTCCCCTCATTTCCAGCCACTGGCTACAGATGGGAGTTGTAGTCCTCCATGTCTACCATGTTTCCCCGAAAATTAGACCGGGTCTTATATTAATTGTTGCTCCAAAAGACGCATTAGGGTTTATTTTCTGGTTAGGTCTTATTTTGAGGGAAATATGGTACTAAATGCATCCAATCTGGCTGACAACCTTAACTGGGGCTTATTTTGGGGGTAGGGTTTATATTACAAAGCATCCTGAAAAATCATGCTAGGCCTTATTTTCTGGTTGGGTCTTATTTTCGGGGAAACCGGTTATTTTAACAATTTGTGGGTTCTTGTGCAGTGAGGTGTGTAAACTGTGAGGGAAATGCAAGAAGAGATGTGCGAGAAAATGGCCGACGGACAACAAGGCTCAGCTTGGGATAGCCCTAAGTGTAATCCGCAATAGTGACAGATAGTCCTCCATTACGACCGCAATTAAGGCCAACGTTTCTATGAAACATTTGTTCGGTGAATTTTACCCCATTTTCTGACCTCTCTTGCCACCGTTGTTATGCGGTTGCCCGAATTTTGAACATGTGACATTGGGGAGGCTGCAATGGTTGCAAGTGTGAAAAATGGTCATAAGTCACTTTTTTTCAGGGCCGTTGTAACTGAACGGTCACTAAACAAACGGCTATAAGTCAAGGACTACCTGTATATGGTCTTTCTTTGAACTCAGGCATGTAACCAAGCTGAAGACGACCCATGTCCCCTAATATCTGGACCATCCGGATGTGGTTGGACTACAACTCCCCACATTTCCAGCCACTGTCTACAGATGGGAGTTGTAGTCCTCCATGTCTACCATGTTTCCCCGAAAATAAGACCGGGTCTTATATTAATTGTTGCTCCAAAAGACATATTAGGGTTTATTTTCTGGTTAGGTCTTATTTTGAGGGAAATACGGTACTAAATGCATCCAATCTGGCTGACAACCTTAACTGGGGCTTATTTTGGGGGTAGAGCTTATATTACGAACATCCTGAAAAATCATGCTAGGACTTATTTTCCGGTTGGGTCTTATTTTCGGGGGGTGGTCATGTGATCCCTTTTTGCGACCTTTTGACATGCAAAGATAATGGGGAAGCCAGATTCACTTAACCGGGTTACTCACTTAACAACCCCAGTGGTTCACTTAACAACCGTGACACAAAAGGTTGTAAAATGGAGGACAGCTTTTTAAAAAAAATATACTGATAACGATTTAATTTTTTTAAAAAAAGAAAGATAAAAAGATTTTTATGCAGCTGTAGTGTCGGGGAGTCAGGTTTTGCGACGTTCTGATGAGCAGTCAATGGGGAAGCCAGATTCACTTAACAACCGTGTGACTCACTTAACAACCTCAGCGAGTCACTGAACTGTGGCAAGAAAAGTCATACAATGGGGCGAATCTCGCTTCATTGTCTTGGTTAGCGATGGGAATTTTGGGCTCAATTACGGTCGTAAGTCGAGGACTACATATATTCCTGGGGAGGAGGGGGTGAACAAACAGATGGCTAAGAGGTCCCGTCATTTTTCTAGGAATTTTTCCACTGTTTGACCTGCGGATTTCCGGATTCTTGGAACAAGCGAGAGAATTTCTATATTTCTAATGTGGTTATTTGGGGAAAGTTGATATTTGTTCACCAAGATGTTGCCAGTGGTAGGATTCAAATAATTAACAACCGGTTCTCTAGCCTAATGACCAGCTGGGTAGGCGTGGCTTGGTGGTCATGTGACCGTGTGGGCATGGCCAAATCAAGACCACTCACGTCGATTGGCGCTTCGTCTTAGCTGTTACAATGTAATAAGGGTTAACTAGAGAGGCAGTTTCTGTAAGCAAGGCAATAAAGATTAGGCTAGAAATAACACCAGAATGTTTCCTTCCTGCCTTCCTTACAGGATTAGCCCTGTAAAGTGGAAAAAAAAAATAAGACTTCTTCCAATGACCACTTTTCTGAACTGCTTAGAAAGTTACCAACTGGTTCTTCCGAATTGGTGTGAACCGGCTGAATCCCACGACTGGATGTTGCCGAAGTGCAGGAAACCACATGAAGGGCCATTTGTAAAAGTACTCCGTTTTTTATTGGACAGGTTCTAAAGGGTGACCGTCGTTGTCTCCTTTTGCAACACAAACATCGCAAAGCTGCACTTTTTCACACGCTTTTTGTTTTTCCCCGCAACACTGGCCAAAATCCCCCCACAGAGGCCCAGGATAACACCGTCCAATCCCAGCATCGCTGTCAGTTCAGCCGTTCCTCCAGGCGAAGACCACAACTCCCAGAATTCTTAGCTCCTCGCTAGGAATTCTGGGATCCTAGCTAGGGATTCTGGGAGTTGCCCTCTTCAAATCTGGCTGGAGCGGCTTCAAAGATTTATTTATTTTTTCCCCCACACACAACTCTCACACCCAAACGGGAAAATGTAACACGTGTTGTTGACAGACCAATGCCGTTTTTTGGGCGCCTGGACCCACAAATCATTTTTGTGCCTGGCTTCACCAATGTGGCAGCCATTTTGAGAAAGGGAAAGTCCCTCCCTCTATGGCAACTTCCAGGCTCCAATATGGCCTCCAAGTTGCTCAGAAAATTTGAGGGTCCCTGTTTTCATTGGAAACTACATTTTCTAAATCTGCCTTTTTCGCTCTTTGGCCCAGTTTTGGCTCCGGGGAAGAGCACCGTTTCGGCTTTTATTTATTTCTCTTCCGTTGGAAGCTGAATGATCACCAAGTGCATTTCTCAACACGCCCCAGAGGACCAGCCTTATTTGCATCGTAGACATCACTAGACTGAGGAATCGGGCCGCAGGGAACCCTGGAGGCTGTAGTTCCTCAGGTGGACCACCGGGCAACACCCTAGCAAAACTACAATTCCCAGGAGCCTTCGAGAGGAACAGCCTCGCCCCGTTTGCAATCCCCAAAACTATGTCTGCACGTAGAGCTGCCTAGATGGGCGAGAGACTCTTTCGCGCCATCTGGTGGTGGGGAAAAGGAACTACCTGGGAGGGAACGGGGCTCAGCGTCCCCCTCTGGTGGATTAAAGAGGAGAAGCAACTTCTCGGCAAGTTTATTTCCCGCGCAGCTCCCAAAGTTTGATGGAAATGGAAGTCCAGAGCGGGCTCATAGAAAAAACTGCACCATGGAAGGCGCCTGAGCGACGGGGGGCTTGGCCCCCTCCCCGCAGTGCCCCCCGGCCGCCTCGTTCAGCAGCTTCTGACACCGGGCTTTGTAGATGTCTCGTTCGTGGACCAAGCGGGCCACCTCCACCCGCAGGGATTCGAGCTGTTGGGCCAGCTGGGATTTTTCGGCCTCCAGGATGTGCCGCTGCTGGACCCGTTTGAAGCGACAGGACTGGGCGTAGCCGCGGTTCTTGAGGGTGCGTCGTTTCTGCTTCAGCCGCTGCACCTCGTCCTTGCCGAAGCCGCGGAGTTGCCGGTTGAGGTCCCGCACCGACATGGAGACGAGCTGGGCGTCAGAGAAGCGGTCGGACAACCGGGGGAGCTGGAAATGAGGAAGCTGTATCAGGCAGGAAAAGAGGAAAACCAAAATCGCATTTGGTGAGCAAAGGATGCTAAAGTTTCGGCATTTACCACACAAGAAGATGGGAAAATGGCCGACGGACAAGCAAGGCTCAGCTTGGGATAGCCCTAAGCGTAATCCGCAATAGAGACACATTTACGACCGTAATTAAGGCCAACGTTTCTGTGGAACATTTGTTCGGTGAATTTTACCTCATTTTCTGACCTCTCTTGCCACCGTTAAGTGAATCACTGCCGTTGTTAAATGAGTCACACGGTCGTTAAGCGAATCTGGCTCGCCCCACAGACTTTGCTTGTCAGAAAGCCGCTTAAAGGGGTCGCGAATTTGGAACACGTGACATTGGGGAGGCTGCAATGATTGTTAAGTGTGAAAAATGGTCATAAATCACTTTTTTTCAGGTCCGTTGTAACTGAATGGTCACTAAACGAATGGCTATAAGTCAAGGACTACCTATATATGGTCTTTCTTTGAACTCAGGCTTGTAACCAAGCTGAAGACAACCCGTGTCCCCTAATATCTGGACCATCCGGATGTGGTTGGACTACAACTCCCCACACTCCCAGCCACTGGCTACAGATGGGAGTTGTAGTCCTCCATGTCTTTTTTTTTTTTTTAAATATGCAATCCTGATTATTGTGTCACACAAATCCAAAAAACTGGGTTAAGAAAACAAGCTCCATTGGCCATAAGCAAGCATGCACCCAACATGCAACGTTCTTGAAGGTTACCTTCCAATCCTGAGAAATTAAGAATATTTTTCTTCCCCCTAAAACATTTAATCTCCTCTAGGGAGAGGTATGTTCACAATCCAGATTTATGAGCCTCCTGCCCTGTGCAGTCAGGTAAAAAGCACTCTGCACATGCTCAAAAGCTACGCCTTCCAGAGGGTGCCTGTGGCTTTTCGCAATCTGGTTCTCTGCACATGCTCAGAGACTCTTAATTAAGATCCTGTTGGCCGAGACTAATTAAACCCACCTCGGATTCATCCTTCTATTTCCCTGCAGCTCTTATTCTCCAATACAAATGGTCCCCGTTTTACGACACAGATGCCCATTTTTCACACTTACGACCGTTGTGGTGTCCCCACGGTCACGTGATCCGAACTCGGGCGCCTGGCAACCGACTCGGGATCACACGCTCCCCTTTTTGGCGACCTTCTGACAAGCCAAGATAATGGGGAAGCCAGATTCACTTAACCAGGTTATTCACTTAACAACCAGAATTTTGCTGAGGCAATCGCTTTGCAAAGATGGAATAAATTTTAAAAAAACAAACAAAAAAAAAAAAGAAATTTCAAAGCAAATTCATCCTTTCTCTTAAAGAGAGGGGCCTCCTTGCGGCGGGGATAGTCAAGATGGCTGCCTTGCCGTTAAAAGGGGCAGGGCCTCAGTCACATGCTCTGTGGTCATAAATCAAGGACTAGCTGTATTCAATATTTGACGTCTTTCAAATATTGAATACGTCTTTCAAATATTGAATATTGAATGACGTGTTTTGGGGTTTTTTTGGAAGATTTACCTGTTGTTGCTCTGCGCCGAAGTTCTCCGCTGACCCCAGGAAGCCCTGCAGCTGGGGAGTCACGCTGTTTCGAAGACCCCCTTCCGCCATGGGCACCCCCAAAAAGGCTTCCACGGCTTCATCCAGCCCTGGCACCATCTGCGTCTCCGGACCGGTGCCAGCGGCCGCCGCCAAAGATTGGTGCAGCGTGGCCATCCAATACAGCTCTTCCAAGGAGGATTTGGGGTCGGCCACTTTGTCGAAGGTGGGCGACGGGGGTACGGAGCTGCATGGGGTGGAAGTGACGGAGGAGCTGCTCCCCGGCCGAGGCACCTCCTGTTTCACTTCGAACTTCAGCAGGTCGAAGTCATCCAGATACTCCAGAGCGATGGGGCTGGCAGGTAAGATGTTCATTCTGCGAGAAGAAAAGAAGATAAGATTGTGTGTTTGTGCGTCGGTTGTGCGTCGGTTGTGTCGGCGAAGAGATCTGGATTAATGGATTAGCTCTGTCTGTGTGTGTGTGTGTGTGGAGGAAAATAACTAACTAACAAAATTAATTAAAATAACTAACTAAAAATAACTAAATAACTAAAATAACTAAATAACTAACAAAGATATTCTTTGCTCCCGGTTCGGACCGGATCGCCCGATCCGGTAGCGATGGAGGTGGGTGGTTCGGAGAACCGGTAGCAAAAATCCCTGCCCCCCCTCCCATTGTCCGGCTGAGCCGCGCAATCATCCGAGGCTTTTTTATTATTATTTTTAAAAGCATTTTTTCTACAACTTCTTGGGCCGAAGAGGTTATAGAAAAAATGCTTTTAAAAGTAAAAACAAAGCCTCTGACGATCAGGCAAGTCAGCTGGGATCGTCAGAGGCTTTAAAAGCATTTTTTTTAACAACCTCTTCAGCCGAAGAGGCTGTAGAAAAATGGTTTTAAAAGTAAAAAAGAAAAAAAAAGTTCATATTCAGTCATATTACCCCCCCACCAAGCCCCGCCCACAGAATCGGTAGTAACAAAATTTACATTTCACCACTGCTTTGCATCCAATATACAATAGCGGCTGAAATTGTGGAAACGTTTGGGGAAAAGTTGTATTTTCTAAAACTAGCTAATAACACCATTTTTCTTTTCTTTTCTTTTCTTTTCTTTTCTTTTCTTTTCTTCTTTTCTTTCTTTTCTTTTCTTTTCTTTTCTTTTCTGAGTAGTACCTTAAAATTATATATCAATGGAAAAACCATTGAATCAAGAATGTAACGCAATCACTTTTGTGAAGGATTTGCTATTAGAATAGTAGTTACAGTATCAAGAAGGAAAATGAAAACCGTAGAAAAAAACGAGATATACAAAAATGATCACCACAGAAAAAAAATGAGATATACAAAAATGAAAACCGTAGAAAAAACGAGATATACAAAAATGATCACCCCAGAAAAAAACGAGATAATACAAAAATGATCACCCCAGAAAAAAACGAGATATACAAAAATGAAAACCGTAGAAAAAACAAGATATACAAAATGATCACCCCAGAAAAAAATGAGATATACAAAAATGATCACCCCAGAAAAAAACGAGATATACAAAAATGATCACCCAGAAAGAAAACGATATACAAAAATGATCACCCCAGAAAAAAATGATATACAAAAATGATCACCACAGAAAAAAACGAGATATACAAAAATGATCACCCCAGAAAAAAACGAGATATACAAAAATGATCACCCCAGAAAAAAACGAGATATACAAAAATGATCACCCCAGAAAAAAACGAGATATACAAAAATGATCACCAAAAAAACGAGATATACAAAAATGATCACCACAGAAAAAAAGAGATATACAAAAATGATCACCACAGAAAAAAATGAGATATACAAAAATGAAAACCGTAGAAAAAACAAGATATACAAAAATGATCACCCCAGAAAAAAATGAGATATACAAAAATGATCACCACAGAAAAAAATGAGATATACAAAAATGAAAACGGTAGAAAAAACAAGATATACAAAAATGATCACCCCAGAAAAAAACGAAGATATACAAAAATGATCACCCCAGAAAAAAACGAGATATACAAAAATGATCACCCCAGAAAAAAACGAGATATACAAAAATGATCGCCCCAAAAAAAACGAGATATACAAAAATGAAAACCGTAGAAAAAACAAGATATACAAAAATGATCACCCCAGAAAAAAACGAGATATACAAAAATGATCAACCCAGAAAAAAACGAGATATACAAAAATGATCACCCCAAAAAAAACGAGATATACAAAAATGATCACCCCAGAAAAAAACGAGATATACAAAAAATGATCTCCAGGTCAGTGAATCCTTCATTGTGTCACCTTTAGCCTGAATGACGTCCTTAAAACAGAGTGTAACCAAATCTTTTAGTTCTAATGTGAAACCAAGTTCGAATAATGGCTTCGGTTAACTGGGTTTTATTGCTGGGTCGCTTCTGACTAATCAGTTTCTTGTGTCGGCCCCGTCGATTTTCAATTGGGTGAAGGTCTGGGCCATTCCAGCAGTGGAATAGGATTATCTTGACATTTCCCCCAAAAAAGTGGTGTTATTAGCCATCCGACCTCAAAAATACACTTTTCCCAAAAGGGTTTCCACAATTTTGGCCACTACTGTATCTAGCCTGTTTGCTCAGGCAAACATTGTTGTACCTCATCCGGCCCCGCGGAAAACTTCTAATGCTGCCACCTCTCCTCGTATTATTTGGCTGAAAGTTATGATACACTTGCCAGGAAATAAATAAATAGGCAAATAAATAATCTTTTGCACCGAAGTGTTGTGGCCTGTCAGCGGCCTGTGCAGTTAGTAGCTGATTCCGACAGCGAGGAGGCTGGCGTGGTGCTGCGCCAGCAGCCTGTGCAGCTGGCGCTCGAGTCAGACAATGAGGAGGCTGGAGGAGATGTGGTGCCGGAGGCGGGGATTCAGCCAGGGCCTTCAAAACCTCCAGAAGCTCCCATAAGTGAAGAGGACGAAGAGGAGGAGCCTCTTCTCGATCCACGGGCGCGCAGAGCTGCCAAAAGGCAGGAGTGGCTCCTGAGGAGGAGGTCTCCTCGAGAGTAAGGCTTGGGGCTAATTGGCCACTCCCTTAGCCTATTTAAGGAGGAATACCAACTGAGGCAATTTGCAGGAAACAACTTCGTTCCTATTCCTTCGCGTCTAGATTCCAGAAACGTTTGAATCGACTCTTGTTTCTCTCTTGTCAGGGATTTGCGGATTAACGGAGTTGGAAGGGACCTTGTAGGTCATCTAGTCCAACCCCTCCCGCCGAAGCAGGAGACCCTACACCATTTCTGACAAATGGCAGCCCAGTCTCTTCTTGAAAGCTTCCAGAGATGAAGCTCATGTTTCACTCTTACGCCCTTGGTAGCCCGCCTCACGGTCATGCGATCCAAATTCGGGCTGCTTGGCAATAACGGGTTCATATTTACGACCGTCGCTGTGTGTGTCCCAAGGTCACGCGATCTCCCCGCTTTTGCGACCTTTTGACACAGCCAAGTCAACGGAGAAGCCGGATTCACGGAACGACCCCGTTACTAACTTACCGACTGCATTGATTCACTTTAACGACCGTGCCGAGAAAGGTCATAAAAGCAGGGGGGAAGGGGAAAACTCACTTAAGAAATGCCTCACTTAACAGCAGAAATGTTGGGGCTCCCTCACGGTCGTAAGCCGAGGACTACCTGTTTGCTCCTCCAGCCCCACTGGAAACATCTACCGCTACCACTTGTCCTTTTATTTGGTCGAGGGACGATATTATAACGTTTATGATCTCGTTTTTATAATAATAAATACGATTATAATATTTATAATGTCATATTCTTGGGCGGAGACGCCAGGAAATAAATCGTTAAGAGAGAGGGGGGAAAAAAAATAATAAGTGGCACCCACGGATTATCCAGAGGAAGTTTTATTTATTTTTTAAATCACTGATTAAATCTACATGCAGCCCGACTCGCTACCCAAATGGACACGGGAGGTTTTGCGGCGATGTGCCGACAATCTAGAGTTAAACCATAGTTTGAGTCACACCCTCGCCCGGTCCTGACCAGGATACACAGCAAGGAAGGTCCTATCCGTTGCCCATGGCTAGTACAACAACAACAACAAAAATCACTGCTTTGCACTTTATTCGCATTTAATCACTTGGATTAAAGTCCAAGCACCCGCAATCAAATTGCCCTCTCTCTGCCGAGCTTCTGCAGCTCAGCAACGTCTATCCCAAGCCAGATCAAAAGCTACCGGTGGGAATTTCCAGAATTTCCTATCCTAACCGAGCTAGAAAAATAGAAAAATACGGATTATTTCTTTTTTATTTTTCCCCCCCGGTTTAAGCTCATTTTTTTTTAAAAAGAATCGACCGGACAGTCAGCGGACGGAGATTGTATAGGTTCTCCTGCTTGAAAAAAAGGGGGCTGGACTAGATGACCTCCCGAGGTCCCTTCCAGAATCTATTTTATTCTACATCCCTTGGCATCCTTGGATTATAGGGGACAGGGAGGGGGGTGTCTAATAAAGGGAAGACCCCCCCCTTGCAGTATTTCATATCCTGAAGAAAGTTTCTCAACTTTGACAACTTAAAAAAAAAAAAAAGGGAGGGGAGGACTTCAACTCCCAGAATTCCCCCCCTCTCAGCCAAAATGGGGGGAATTCTGGGAGTTGAAGTCCTTTCCCCCCCCAACCCCTTCTTCAATTGAGAAAATGTCATTTAAAAAGGAGGATGGATTTTGCCCAAATCAGACTTTTCTTTACCCAAATCCCCCAAATTCACAGGTCCTGCTGACTTTCCCCCCTCTGGATGCCGCGCAGCGGCTTGCGCGCATCCTTCCATGGGAAAGCGGAGCTCGCCCGCCAGCTCTTGCGATCCAAAGCCCCGAGGAGCGCAGAAAGGAAAGGATCGCGGAGAGAAAAAAAAAAGAAATGAAAGCGGACGGGGTGGAAAACTGCCTCCCGGGAGACGAGAGAAACCCAGCAAAACGCAGAGGGATCCTTTGCAAATCTCCCAGACTCGAGAAAACGCAAGGGGATCCTTTGCAAGAAAAAAAAAAAACCAGATCCGGAGAAACGCAAGGCGATCCTTTGCAAATCCCTCAGACTTGAGGAAACGCAGGGGGATCCTTTGCAAATCCCCCAGATCTGGGAAAACGCAGGGGAATCCTTTGCGAAAATTCCAGATCCGGAGAAACGCAGGGCGATCCTTTGCAAAGAGAACCCGGGGAAACGCAGGGGGATCCTTTGCAAATTCCCCCAGATCTGGGAAAACGCAGAGGGATCCTTTTCCAAAAAACCCCCCCCAAAAAACACCCAGATCCGGAGAAACGCAAGGCGATCCTTTGCAAAGAGAACCCAAGGAAACGCAGGGGGATCCTTTGCAAATTCCCCCAGATCTGGGAAAACGCAGGGGGATCCTTTGCAAAAAAAAAAAAAACTCAGACCCAGGAAAACGCAAGGCGATCCCTTTGCAAATCCCCCAGATTCGGGGAAACGCAGGTGGGATCCTTTGCAAAAAAAAAAAAAAAAAAAAGTCCAGACCCGGGAAAACGCAAGGCGATCCCTTTGCAAATCCCCCCTCCCTCCCGATCCGGGAAACGCAGAGGGATCCTTTGCAAAAAAAAAAAAAAAGTCCAGATCCAGGGAAACGCAAGGCGATCCCTTTTTGAAATCCCCCCAGATCCGAGGAAACGCAGGGGGGAATCCTTTACAAAACTTCCAGACCCGGGAGGGGGGGGGAAAGGCAAGGCGATCCTTTGGCAAAGGAAACCCGGTGGTGGTGATGGTGGGAGGGGAAAAAACACGCAAAGCGATCCTTTGCAATCCACCAGATCTCTTTTTTTGGGGGGGGGAAGAAAGGGAAGGAAGAGCCCACCTGCTTGCTTGGTCGTCCATGGGTCTTGCTTTCCTTGCCAGCGTCCGGTCCGGACCGCCCTGCCACCCGCTGGAGCCGCTTAAATGGGGGTTGAGGATCCCAAAGAACACAGCGCAGACCTCGGGGTTCCCTTTAAACGCCGGGAGGCTGACGTCATCCGCATATATTAGCAGCCAGCCAATGGGGAGGGCGGGATTGAGACGGGGGGGCGTGGCCAACAATTCCACCCCCCCTCCCCTTTCCTTTCTCTAACTTGCTCCCTGTTCCTAGTTCCTCTTTTGGGGGGGGGAGTCGCTTCTCCCCTCCCCATGCAACGGGACTACAAAGCCCAGCACTCCCATGCAACGGGACTACAAAGCCCAGCACTCCCATGCAACGGGACTACAAAGCCCAGCACTCCCATGCATGGGACTACAAAGCCCATCACTCCCGTGCATGGGACTACAAAGCCCATCACTCCCATGCAATGGGACTACAAAGCCCAGCACTCCCATGCAACGGGACTACAAAGCCCAGCACTCCCATGCATGGGACTACAAAGCCCATCACACCATCCCATGCATGGGACTACAAAGCCCATCACTCCCGTGCATGGGACTACAAAGCCCATCACTCCCATGCAACGGGACTACAATTGTAGCCCAGCACTCCCATGCAACGGGACTACAAAGCCCAGCACTCCCATGCATGGGACTACAAAGCCCAGCACTCCCGTGCATGGGACTACAAAGCCCAGCACTCCCATGCATGGGACTACAAAGCCCAGCACTCCCATGCAATGGGACTACAAAGCCCATCACTCCCAGCCTGATTTGGACAAGCCCTCCCCCATCCTTGAAGCCCTCCGTTCTGGCTTGGATCCCCGGGCATGGGCTGGAAGCGATGAGGTCATACCGTCGTCAAACCCCCCCCCCCGGGGGGTGTTCCTGAGCTCCTGAGCATGCACAAAGTTCGGTGCCTTGGCTGGCAGAGCTCGCCTCCCCCATCATCCCCCCCTTTGCAGATATAGCTCGTCCTCGATTGACGACGCTTGTTTCGCACTTAACGACCGTCGCAGCCTCAATATTCAGAGGCTCAGCCACTGATTCACATTTAACGACGGTTTGCCGGTTCGTTTTTTTTTTTTTTTTTTTTTTGCGACCTTCCGGCAAGCCGAGGCAAGTAGGGAAGCCCGGATTCACTTAACGACCGTCTTGACTAACTGAACCCCTGCGGGGATTCGCTTAAGAACCGTGGCGAGAAGAGCCGTAAAAACATATACAGGTAGTCCTCGACTTATGACCCCAACGCAGCCCAAATTTTTGTCACCAAGTGAAACATTTTGGTGACAAAAATTTGGGGCTGCGTTGGGGTCGTAAGTCGAGGACTACCTGTATATGGTTTTTTTTTTAAAAAAAAAGTTTTTTGAAAGGGAGCGGAAGGAAAAATAACCGTTTTGGACGGGCTGAGAAGTTGGGTCTCTCGAGTGTGAGAAAAAGGCACTCTAAACATGCTCAGAGGTTATTTGTCCTTCTAGCAACAGCCAGAGAAGATTCCTCTGTAGGAAAACGGCACTCTGTGTATGCCCAGAATTAACTTTTTGTGCGAATTGAAGCAAAAATAGTAACTTTGGACAGGTTCAGAAGCTGTGCACTGAAGACCCTGTTGTTCCGCCAGGCTGGGCTATCGACATGATAATTTTAAATTGGGGTATTTTAAATTTCTGGGGTTTTAAATGGAGCCAAATTTATTTAATAATTTTAAATTTTAAATTGATGTTTGTCTTGTGTTTTTTAAATAGGCTGTACACCGCCCTGAGTCCTTCGGGAGAAGGGCGGTATAGAAATAAAATTATTATTATTATTATTATTATTATTATTATTATTATTATTATTATAGACTTCTTGAGCACAGCTTCGTGAGCAACAACGGGGGGGAAAAAAAAAAGAGGCACTCTAGACATGCTCAGAAATTGTTTGCCCTTTCAGCCACAATCGGACCAGGATTCTTCGGTAGGGGAAAAGCACTCTGTGCATGGCCAGAAGGATCAACGTCTCTATGTCGTAGAGAGAGAGAGTGGGGGCAATTCAATGCTGGGTGACGGACGATGGGCCCCGGAGTCCATTTGCAGCATGCACGTGGGGGAGAGGCAATTCAGTGCTGGGTGATGGATTATGGGCCCCGGAGTCCATTTGCAGCATACACATGAGGGAGAGGCAATTCAGTGCTGGGTGACGGACGATGGGCCCTGGAGTCCATTTTGCAGCATGCATGTGGGGGAGAGGCAATTCAGTGCTGGGTGACGGACGATGGGCCCCGGAGTCCGTTTGCAGCATGCACGTGGGGCAGAGGCAATTCAGGCTGGGTGACGGACGATGGGCCCTGGAGTCCATTTGCAGCATGCACGCGGGGCAGAGGCAATTCAATGCTGGGTGACGGACGATGGGCCCTGGAGTCCATTTGCAGCATACACGTGGGGCAGAGGCAATTCAATGCTGGGTGACGGACGATGGGCCCTGGAGTCCATTTGCAGCATACACGTGGGGCAGAGGCAATTCAGTGCTGGGTGACGGACGATGGGCCCCGGAGTCCATTTGCAGCATACACATGAGGGAGAAGCAATTCAGTGCTGGGTGACGGACGATGGGACCCAGAGTCCGTTTGCAGCATATACACAGGGTGGAGACGGGTTCAAATCCCGGTGTGCGCCGAGAAAGAGGCTGAACTCGCACCCGCTCCCCTGCAAAGGTGTAAAAGCCGGAGCAGGCCGGCACCCTGATGGAAAATGGGTTCTGTGGGGCAGAAGCGATGTCCCTGGTTTGGACCCCAGGCCGGTGGAGGGTTGCCATGGTTCCCCGGGCCGGCCCGCCCCTCCGCTAATACCCAGCCCCACACGGCCACAAAAGGCCAGCTCAGCGTTGCTAACCCATCCTGACAAGGGATTCTTCGCCTATTCAGTTGGACATCAGCCTGTCATCAGCCCTCACCCCACCGTTCGCCCCCACCCCCGGGCGTGACCTCCCCACCTGACCCGGCCGTGTTGTTAAGCCCCCCGGACGAAAGAAAAGCAAGAAAAAATCCACCTTCCGCAAAAATAAAAAAACCACGACCTCCCCCCCTTTTCCCAGCTCTATCGTTCCCCCAAAACTGAAATTCGGGTGCTTATTTCCTCTTGAGGACTAGCTGCTTGGCTAGCAGAGTTCCCAGGAAGTTAGTTGTTGTTAAGCCCCCCAAATGAAAGAAAAGCAAGAAAAATCCACACTCTGAAAGTTTAAAAAAAATGACCCCCTTCCCAGCTCTATCTTTCCCCCAAAACTGCAATCCGGGTGCTTATTTCTTCTTGAGGACTAGCTGCTTGGCGAGCAGAGTTCCCAGGAAGTTAGGTGGAAGTTAGGTGTTGTTAAGCCCCCCTCCTCTTGAGGACTAGCTGCTTGGCGAGCAGAGTTCCCAGGAAGTTAGTTGTTGTTAAGCCCCCCAAATGAAAGAAAAGCAAGAAAAATCCACCCTCCGCAAAAGTTTTAAAAAACGACCCCCTTCCCAGCTCTATCTTTCCCCCCAAACTGCAATTCGGGTGCTTATTTCCTCTTGAGGACTAGCTGCTTGGCGAGCAGAGTTCCCAGGAAGTTAAGCCGAAACGTAGCAGGCTTGGTGGATGTAGGATGTAGACGGAACAAATGCGGCCTTTTTAAAAGAGCTTTCCGGCAAGGGGGGAAAAAAAACGTGACTTAGGACCCGGTTTCACACTTAACGGCCGTCGTAACATCCCCTGATCAAACTTCAGACACTGGGCAACTGGCGTGTACTTATGTCGGTTGCAATGTTTTAGGCTCCTTGTTGCAATCGTCTGATTAAGCAAAAGCCCGCGGGGCAGCCGGATTCGTTTTAACGACGGTGCGACTAACTTAACGACGGCCGTGATTCGTTTAACAACCGTGGGGCAAAACTCATTGAACGGCCGGCCGTCTTGCTCGGCGACGGACATTTTGGTCGTAAATCGAGGACTATTTCTATTCTGTTAAAAAAAATTGTGTTTTTTTTTAAAAAAAATCACTTTTCCTGACCTGGTTAGCAAGAGAGAGAAACGCCGCGAATGCAAAGCTCAACCTGTTGAATTTCAGCCTGCGCTGGCGGGAGAAAAATTGCAGTTGGTTGGATTTAATCAACCATCCCGTTTCCCAGGCTTTTACCCCAGTCCTGCCCCATATAAACCCGGGAAGCAGGTTGCAATTGGTACGAGAGAGAGAGAGAGAGAGAGGGGCCAGGCTGATTGTTCAACAGGTCAAGCAAACGCGCCCCCCCCCCCCCCCTCCATTCCTATCCCACCCCAAGCTGATCCTTGCCTGTTTCCAAGGCTAATTAAATCCCAAACAGGAAAGCCCATCGTGTCTGAAATGATCATTTTAGCAGGAATTTTCCTATTAAGTCTACAAATAATAATAATAATAATAATAATAATAATAATCTGATTATTAACAGCCTTCGGCCAGATGTCTTTAAATAAAAAACTCCCGGCTCAATTAATCACTTTAAGGTATATTCTCGGCTTAATTGGCCCGACCTCGATGACCCATATTTTACTCGATTTAATCCTGATCTGGACGTCTAAGATGGCATTTAATGGATTCCCGGCTAAAGCCGAGTCGGGGAGCGTTTGTAAACCTTGATCCCTGGCAAATAAACAGACGGATTAGCAAAGTGGGAAGACTTTTTAATGGGATCTGGGGAAGAGTGGGGCAGACGGGGGTTGGGGTGGGGTGGGGTGGGGGGGTTTCTCCCTCTGGATCCATGGCGGGACGTGGGGTGGGTTAAACTTTTAAGCCTGGTCGTCTGCCCCCCCCCCCAGTTCTGTCTATCTAGGGTTAATATGGGGTGGGGTGGGGGGTCAGAGGTAGGATTTGACCGAAGGAAATATTTGGGGCTCGGAGTTGAACCTTGGCGCTGGGTGAGTTCCTCGCAGACGTTTTATGACCCAGCTAGGGAACGTTATCAGGGCTAGAAGGGAGTGGGGTTTGAGAGGAGCAGGAGGAAGAAGAGGAAGAAGAGGAAGAAGAAGGAGAAGAGGAGGAGGAGGAAGAAGAAGAAGAAGAAGAGGAAGAGGAAGAAGAAGGAGAAGAGGAGGAGGAGGAGGAAGAAGAAGAAGATGAAGAAGAAGAAGAAGAGGAGG